CCAGAATCTTCTTCCTTTTCAATGCTGAATTATGTGTCATTATACATAAAAACAATATTGTGTTTATTCATTCTTCCATCAATGGACACTTGGGTTGTTTCTTCCTTGTATTAGTTTACTAGGGTTGTCATAGCAAGATACCAACAGTCTGGGTGGCCTACAGAAATTTCTTTTTTTATGGTTCTGGAGGATAGAAGTTTGAGACCTAGGAGTCAGCAGGGATGGCTTCTCCTGAGTTCACTCCTTGGCTTGCAGATCTCTGTGCATTGAAAGCTGCTTAAGCAGGGGAGCTGCACTGTGACATCACATCTTCAAGGGGACATGACCCCTGTATGTGTGGTACAGGCTGTTCGTGGACTTTCCAACAGCATCCTTACATGGCCTTCTCCGTGTGCCCATCCCTAGTTTCTCCCTCTTCTTATTAAGATATCAGTTCAATAAGACCTCATTTAACCTTAATTACTTCTTTAAAGGTCCTGTCTCTAAATACAGTTGTACTGGAGTTTAGGGCTTCGATATAGGAATTTGGGAGGGATACAGTCCAGTCTGTGATGCATCTCTTGGCTATCTTGAACAACGCTGCTATAGATATGGGTATACAAAGATTTGTTAAAGTCCTTGCTTTCAATTCTTTTGGGTGTATGCCCAACAAAAGAATTGCTGAATTATATGGTAATTCTAGCTTTCATTAAAAACAAAACTAAACAAAAACACCGTGTTGTTTTCCATAGTGGTGAAACCATTCTCTATTCGCATGCCATTATTTCTTAATCTTCTGAGAAGTTTGGTTCTTTTTGAGAGGTCTCTTTGATTTCCAAGGTCCTCTAGTAAGAAGCTGGCCTGCAATGTGTTCTTCTTGACTTCCAGCTGCTTGATTACTAAATGGTGCCTTTGCACCTCTGGTCAACACCCGTAGGCTCTGGGTTCCACACTCAGCTGCATGGAGGACATTTCAGAAAGGAGGAGAAGGCTGCAAAAATGGCCTGGTCTCAAACAGATGTTTCATTTGAGCTGTGGGCTCTCAGGCTGCAGCCCTGAGCACTGAGGAGGTTTGCACTAGATCCTCCCCCATCTCTGGGCATGGCAGAGGCAGAGCTTGAGTCCTTGGTGCTCACTGCTTTCAGAAAGATGGAGAGCACGGACCAGCAGTTAGCGTAATGGCTATGTCGCTGGACTCCCATGTAGCTGACCACAGTTTGCGTCCCGGACCCGGTGGCTTAAAACTCATGCTGGGCGTGTGTGCATACATGCCCAAGATCCTGAGAGGAGAATGGAGGATTAAGTGTGAAGTTCAGTGGCATTAAATACATTCACATTGTGGAAACACCACCATCCAACTGCAGAATTTTCTTCATTTTACAGAATGGAAACTAGGTACCCATTATACATTAATCCCTTTTTTACCCACCTACCCCACCAGCCCTCAACCACCATCGTTCTACTTTCCGTGTGTATGAATTTTGCCACTCTAAGTAACTTACATCAGTGGAATTATATGATAATTGTCCTTTTGTGATTGGCTTATTTCACTTAGCATGATATCCTTATGGTTTGCTCAAGCTGCAGAATGTGCCAGAATCTTCTTCCTTTTCAATGCTGAATTATGTGTCATTATACATAAAAACAATATTGTGTTTATTCATTCTTCCATCAATGGACACTTGGGTTGTTTCTTCCTTGTATTAGTTTACTAGGGTTGTCATAGCAAGATACCAACAGTCTGGGTGGCCTACAGAAATTTCTTTTTTTATGGTTCTGGAGGATAGAAGTTTGAGACCTAGGAGTCAGCAGGGATGGCTTCTCCTGAGTTCACTCCTTGGCTTGCAGATCTCTGTGCATTGAAAGCTGCTTAAGCAGGGGAGCTGCACTGTGACATCACATCTTCAAGGGGACATGACCCCTGTATGTGTGGTACAGGCTGTTCGTGGACTTTCCAACAGCATCCTTACATGGCCTTCTCCGTGTGCCCATCCCTAGTTTCTCCCTCTTCTTATTAAGATATCAGTTCAATAAGACCTCATTTAACCTTAATTACTTCTTTAAAGGTCCTGTCTCTAAATACAGTTGTACTGGAGTTTAGGGCTTCGATATAGGAATTTGGGAGGGATACAGTCCAGTCTGTGATGCATCTCTTGGCTATCTTGAACAACGCTGCTATAGATATGGGTATACAAAGATTTGTTAAAGTCCTTGCTTTCAATTCTTTTGGGTGTATGCCCAACAAAAGAATTGCTGAATTATATGGTAATTCTAGCTTTCATTAAAAACAAAACTAAACAAAAACACCGTGTTGTTTTCCATAGTGGTGAAACCATTCTCTATTCGCATGCCATTATTTCTTAATCTTCTGAGAAGTTTGGTTCTTTTTGAGAGGTCTCTTTGATTTCCAAGGTCCTCTAGTAAGAAGCTGGCCTGCAATGTGTTCTTCTTGACTTCCAGCTGCTTGATTACTAAATGGTGCCTTTGCACCTCTGGTCAACACCCGTAGGCTCTGGGTTCCACACTCAGCTGCATGGAGGACATTTCAGAAAGGAGGAGAAGGCTGCAAAAATGGCCTGGTCTCAAACAGATGTTTCATTTGAGCTGTGGGCTCTCAGGCTGCAGCCCTGAGCACTGAGGAGGTTTGCACTAGATCCTCCCCCATCTCTGGGCATGGCAGAGGCAGAGCTTGAGTCCTTGGTGCTCACTGCTTTCAGAAAGATGGAGAGCACGGACCAGCAGTTAGCGTAATGGCTATGTCGCTGGACTCCCATGTAGCTGACCACAGTTTGCGTCCCGGACCCGGTGGCTTAAAACTCATGCTGGGCGTGTGTGCATACATGCCCAAGATCCTGAGAGGAGAATGGAGGAGAAGGGATTGCGGCATGGCCATCCCCCCTGGGGGGTGATTTCTTGCTTTCTGTCTCTCTGTCTGTCTGGTGAGCACACATGCCCTATAGCTAAAACCGCTCCAAAAAATAAAATTAAATTAAAAAATAAATAAAAAAAGAAAGATGGAGAGCAGATTTGAGACATCCTTCAATGAGCAGAGTAGCTTTTAAGATGCTACAGGAGAGTCATATATCAACAGAACGGATAAGGGTGTACCTTGTGGGAGAGTTGCTATCGTATGGAAGGGAGTGATTGGAGTGTGAGGAAATGTTGGGATGTTTCTGTGAGGAAAGATTGCAACTGTGTGTGTGTGTGTAATAACATATAAAGGTATGTGGGTTGGCTGTGAGGGTTTGTGGTAGGTAGGTGTGGGGGGATATATGGGGTAGGGTGTGTGTGTATGCATGTGTGTAGTGGGCTATGAAGTTTTTGGGCTGGATGTGAGGACATGGATGTGAGATAGGGGTATATGTGTGGCAAATAGAGTGTGGGTGTGTGTGTGTTGGTGAGTAGGAGTGAGAGTGTGGGAGTTGGGTATGACGATGAGTAGGAATAGTGCGAGAGAAGGAAGTATGAGAGTGTGTATGAGGTGGAGGCAGGAGCATTTTGGGGTTAAGGTGTATGTGTGTGTGTATGGAGTAGGGGGTAGAGTGTAGAGAGTTGGGTATGAGGGTGACTATGGAGTCGAGTGGAGTCGTGTGTGAGGGGGAGGTACAAGGGTGTGTATGAGGTGGAGGCAGGAGCATTTTGGGGTTAAGGTGTATGTGTGTGTGTATGGAGTAGGGGTAGAGTGTAGAGAGTTGGGTATGAGGGTGAGTATGGAGTAGAGTGGAGTAGTGTGTGAGGGGGAGGTACAAGGGTGTGTATGAGGTGGAGGCAGGAGCATTTTGGGGTTAAGATGTGTGTGTGTCTCTGTATGGAGTAGGAGTACAGTGGAGAGTTGGGTATGAGGGAGTGTGGGTGTTAGGATGTGTGTGTGAAGTAGGGTATGAGGGTGAGGAGGAAGGGGTGAGGGTATAAACGGGTAGAGGGTAAATCTGTGGAGTAGAGCATGAGGGCATGTGGGGACAGGGTATGCAGAGGGTGAGTGTAACTAGGAGTGTGTGCGTGTGTGTTGTTGGGTCATAGCAGGGGGAGGGCCGATTGGCAGCTGCCCCCTCCTGGAGCAGGGTGAGTGGAAGAGCTGGCTGGAACCTGCAGAGCTTTCCCAGTGCGGGGGAACCCGGCTGGGGACTCGGGCATGATTCACCCGGTTGGGGGAATTAATCTAATGGCATCTGTGTCATGGCAGAGATCTGTGCGTCAGTCTCTATGACTTTGCTCTTATTAACAATCATGGAAGAAATTTAATATGAGAAATGAAGAGAGTGGGTGAGAAGTGGTGCTGGGGGCTGTGAAAGACAAATTGCTTCTCCCTCAGTGTCTGGGCCATGCTAAGTGACCAAGGTCATCTCCCTCAACCTTGTTCTTGATAAAAGGTGTCTGCAGTCATCCCACATGAGGGAAGTAACTTTAGAAGACACACACACACACACACACACACACACACACACACACACACACACACAGGCTAGAGGAGCCCAGAAGCCCCTCCCAGATCAGATGCCAGGCGGCCTCTGCAGCAGTAACTCTTTGTGCACTGCGGCTTGCTGCAGTCTTTGCATTGGAAGGATGGTGGCTTTTATGAATGGTAGCCTGGGAGGGGACTAATGTCATCTGCTCCTGATGTCAGCACAATGAATGGAACACTTGCAAAGCGTAAAGCCTTGAGCACCCGGGAAGCAGATACCTCCTCAGATTGGTTCTCCGGATGAAGCGTCTCTTGCTGACGAAATCACCAGTCCCATGTGTCACAGATAATCCATATACGTTTGGATTGAAATGAGGCAGAAACTGAGGCTGCATGTGGAATGATGCGTGTATAAATCTGGCACAACCAGCTGAAGCAGCTGTGGCTGCGACCCTCTTCCTGCCAGGCACTGGAGAGAGGTGCTTGTGGGAGCTGCAGACCCACCGCTGTGTTAGCCATCTACCTAGCTAGCCCGATGTTCTGCTTTTGCTGGCAGAATTCCTTCCTGAAGCTCCAAGCCCTCGAATCTGATCTGTGCTCTGCATTTTTGACAAACCAGGAAGAAGCGGCTCAGGCGCATGGAGTCAAGGACCCAGCCCCAGTGACGACCCAGAGCGTGCCTGCTGATGGGCCGGATTCTGCAGGTGAGAGGCAGGGCTGGGGATGTCCCAAATGACACTCTCCAGATAGTTCTTCCTTAACCTGGCCCAGAGGGAAAAGGTGCCTGGTGCAATGTGAGAGCCCAGAAGGTGTTTCTGAGTTGCCCAGGGGGAGCTGGGAAGAGGGAGGAAGAATTACGATTTGCTACAGTATAGACCTTCTCTTTAAGTGGGGCCAAGAGTCAGACTTACCTAAACGGGTGTCGTACCAAAGCACCCCTTACAACTTCTCCTGCACATTTTCTCATTTGCTCTTCTGTGCCAAATGAGTGCTGTGCTCATTCTATATTGCTGGACCTAGATAATCTGTGCTGTTTTGAAATTCATTTTATAATATTTTCAAGGTATTAAAGGTTGGGGGAATTTTAATACTGCTGCTGCTTTTTTTTTCCTGTTAACTGTGTGATTGATGATCCATCAATACAGAGAATGTGGGGTGGGTGCTCCACTCATAGCTCATCCTGATTCTTTATTTTCTTGTTCTGTCTCCGTTGATTTGTTTTCCCCTGCATTAAAAAGTCTCAAAATTCAGTCTCAATTTTCTGTTGGTTTCTTTAGTTTTAATTCTAGGAATGGTAGAATGGCTAGGAAACAGGAGGCAAATTAATACTCCTAGGTAGACTTAGAGAGGAAAGAAACACTAATTTAGATGAGTCGGCATGGCTTATGTTTTCTAACACCGATGTGCCAGAGGTTTGCAGACTGCTTCTTGATGGATAGTAGAAATAGGCTCAGGTGAGGTTGCTTCCTGAGTAGTCCTTCATCTCTAGGAAATGAAGGAAGACATTTACTAAGATAATCTGTTTTGGACCCATTAGTAACAGTATATTTAAGACACTACTTTCTAAAGCAGACCCACATGCTCCAAGTAGGCAGAACAGGCATCTCCAATGATGAAATGCATACTTATAATTGAAGCTCATCATAGCTACTAACATTAGCTATTATTATTTTAAATTTCCTGTGTTCCTGGCACCATTCTAAACACTTTCTATGTATTTTATTAAGTTCGTAAACTGACATGTGAAGTAATGCTATTCACAGTAATGACACCAAGGCTCAGGATAACATAGCTGCTAAGTGATAATGATTTCCCTAGGAATGCAGGCGGCCAGTTGGTGTCCTTGTCTGGTGAGCACTGCACAAGTACTCTGTTGGTCATTGTGTTTGGATGAGATGCATACAAATGGGGTAGGAGTCAACATCAAGCCAATTAGGGATTTAAGTTGCATTATTTATTAGACAATGCCCTCTTTATTCCTCCAACACCAAATTCTACCCCTTGTTAACAAACAACATAGAAAACATATAAAGAAGTCTCAAGTTCAGATTCAAATCAGCATTAGAGCTAGAGAATGTTTTGGATTAGCTATACAAGAATCTAGCAAAGGATGTATGATAAAATAGTTGTTTCTTGTTAGATATGGAGTTTTTTTTTTTCTTCTTCTTTTTTAATCATGAATCTTATGTTTGTGTGTCTTCTATTTTCTCCAAAGATCAGGATAGTTTTGCATTTTCTCATTGTGGATGGATGTGATTTTAAGCAAGCTTATTAAATTCCTTGTAAAATGAAAATAAAAACTGATTTTGTGTATGTTCTGCTCATGCAAAGAAACCATTCATTTCTTCTGTTTTAATTATCAAGTGGCAGAAATGGGCAGAACACTCCTTACAGAGGAGACTTGTAGGCTGGATGCTGTATTTCCAAAATGTAGGTAAATGTGAGATATCTCAGAGTTCTTCTAATTGAGTCTAAAAAAAACTAAACTCTAGAACCATTCAGAAAATTAGATATTTTCAGGAACATAGGAATCTCTTTGGCAGGGATATTGCTAAAGTAATGAGCATTTTGAAGACATGTCCACAGTTTAAATTATTGGATGGATTGGTCCCATTGGCTTCCATGGGCACCCTTATAGTAATGTCTTCCATTTTCTAACCCCTGAGTCACTCAAACAGAAACAAACTGCTCATGTTAGATCAGCTGTTCTTATCTGAGAGCCTCTGAATGGATTTTTGAAGTAATCTTTGAACACTTTGGAACTGTAATTTTTTTTTTTTTGTATGTAGGTCTCTGATGAAGCAGTGATTGTATAAGATTAGCACAGATGACCAGAAGTCCATTACAATGACTTTAACATAATTTTCTCTTTCTTACAGCCTCATGTCTAAACATAAGCTTTACATGTATGCAAATATTTAATTATGTTGGTGTCAATGACTGATAAAACTAGAATAAAGTTTAACAAATGATGTTTATAGAGATATATGGATATAATAATACCAATTAACCATGAGGAAAACTTCATAAATAAATATTGATGTCACTTAAATAAGTTTCATTCTTACTTTAGGCTTGATTAGGGCATGTCTTAAATAAAGTTATTTCTTTTTTCTTTTTTTTTTGGAGAGGTTTTTGCTATAGGGCACATGCACTCACCAGAGAGACAGAGAGAGACATAGAGACAGAAAGCGAGAAATCACCCGCCAGGGGGGATGGTCACGCCGCAATCCCTTCTCCTCCATTCTCCTCTCGGGATCTTGGGCACACACGCACACGCGCCTGGTGTGAGTTTTAAGCCACTGGGTCTGGGACGTGAACCGCGGTCGACTACGTGGGAGTCCAGTGACATAGCCATTACGCTAACTGCTGGTTCCCAATAAAGTTATTTATTTTTGCAGTGGGCATTTGAAATGATGGTTTGAGTGAAGTATAGTAGTTTTCATGTCTTGAGATCAAAATATCAAGCTTTAACTTGAGTTTTTGGGCTACAAAGATTTGTCTCACTCAATAAGGTACCGGAAGTGCTCTTCTGTTCTTGCTATCCAATTATAGAGGGCGTCTGCAGCAAGAACATATTTGGTGGCATCGCTGAAGGAATTCTTTGTTATGAATAGTGTTTCAGACCCTTCTTACACATTATAATTACCAAAAGGCTTTTCCATTGTGGAGATTTTCAGGCTGCTCTAGACAGTCTGAAGAGGAAGTTCTGGCATCAGTATATTTCACAAACACTCCTAAGTATTGGGAACCATTCTGGTCAAGTGGATAGTGTCTTGAATCAGGTGAGAATGTCTGCTCTACCTCAACATTGTCAATGAGAAGAGACTGACAGACCATGTAGAACTTATAACTCAGGGTCTGTGGTTAGTTGGCTCCATCCAGTTACTTGGGAGGAGGAAGGTGCTTATGTACCAAGTCCATAGACTGGGGATGGGTGGGATGGAGACGGACATGAGATGGGGACACAAACATATTTGAGTCATGTAGGAGCCCTTAGAGAAAAGTGATGAAAAAGGAACCAGCTACGAGGCATCTTTTCAATTGCTTGTTGCTTTCAAAGTATGCAGAAAAGTGATTTAATATTCCACATGACTAAGCATCGTAACCCTGGGTCAGTCTGACCAAGGATGACTGGTCATATGGAGTTTTTAGCAATAACTATCACCAGAGATAACTGAAGTCTATTATGAGAAAATAATAGTTCTGCAGCAGTACTTAATTCCTTTTTCTAAAATCTTGATTTTGTTTTTTTCTTTTTTCTTTTTTTATGTTTGGAGAGGTTTTTACTATAGGGCATGTGTACTCCCCAGAAAGACAGAGACAGAAAGTGAGAAATCACCCCCCCCCCAAGGGAGGATGGCCACACCACAATCCCTTCTCGGGATCTTGGGCACACATGCACACGTGCCCAGTGTGAGTTTAAGTCACCTGTCCGGGACTTGAACCACAGTCGAATACACGGGAGTCCAATGACATAGCCATTACTCCAACTGCTGGTCCCAAATCTTGATTTTCAAATTAAACTTTCCATTTGGGTAAACACTGAGGTAGTTTATGTATTTATACTTTCTCTCATGAAGATTTCTGCATAATATTTATTTGCATAATCTGATTATGTTTTGCATAATAAGTATATATAGGTCTCTCCCTAATGGTGAAGTTGAGGTAGGCAGAATCCAAGAGAGCTTGGCCTTTTCTCTCATGTTTCAAGACATTGTCCATTTGCCCACAAGTTTCCAATTACTTGGCAGAGCTTACTAAACTTCAGATGTCTGGACTTCCCACTCTAAGATGCAAAATCAAAATACAGAGATGAGGCCTGAGAATCTCCATATTGGAAAAAGTTCCCCAGTGATTCTGATGTGCAGAGGGGTTCAGGAACACTTTGTAAAGCACAGAACCACTCAGAGGTGTCATAACATGTGTTCTTGCTGCAAATGCATGTCTAAAACCGGACAGCATCTCAGGTCTCCTACTAGGTGGGTCTAGTCATGTGTATCACTTGGTTTTTCATTCTTTCTGGGAATCCTAGTGTTTGAAAGTCAGTAAGTGGGGGTATCCTTTACTTCAACTTCAGAAGTGCATGGAATTTTCAATGATCTTTTAGAAATCTTATTTATTATGGGTGTGTATGTGTGTCTGTGATTTTTCAGCATTTCTTGAGAGTGTTATATACATCACACCTACTGTTTTAACTATAAAATGGCTGCTACTGTACAAAGTAGGACTTCATTTATCTATCCTAAGTTGATTATTTTAAACTGATGATTTTCAGTTGACATTGATTTTTTTGCCCTTCCCCCCTCCTGCCTTGGGGACATTTGACAACATCTGGGAAGATTATTGGTTATCACAGTTGGGGTGATGAGTACTATTGGCATCTTGTGAGCAGAGACCAGGAATACTGCTAAACATCCTACCGTGCACAAGACTACCCTGTGCACCCAATTAGGAATTATCTTGCCCCAAATGTCAATAGTGCCAAGGATCAGAAACTGTCCTTTAAAAGCTTTTAAATGAATAACATCAACATTAGGCTACAATGACCTCTTCATCCATACCAGGAATTAGTACACTGATTTTCTTATATATCTTCACGAAAGCAGGGAGTTAAATTTCATTATTATTATCCCCAGATGAAAGTTGAGGAAATAAACTCAGTTTTGTGTAACTTGCCGAAATTCCCACAGCTATTGACTGG